TGAGGGAAATTTCACTGATGGATAGATGCACTGATGATGCAACTTTCTGCAACTAATGCAGAAAGTTACATTACTTGATATATGGAATATTATAAAGTTTTCCGTGAAGCAGGCACTCCAAACTTATGCAGGTCAGCAATAGTGGCTTTCTCCCAGGTTAAATGTTTTAAGGTTGGTTACTGTTCTCACTGTCAGGAGCAACAGTTTGATAGTGAGGTATAGCGAAGGTGTCTATGACAGGAAAATGTCAGGAAAGGTTGTCACAATCACTGAGTCTTAAACCCTCAGATGTAACCAGTTAGATCATCATCAGTGAGAAAATTATCAAAATGGGACCTTCCTCTCCAGTCACTTATTGGAAAGCCAAAGTAATATTAAACTGAGTATAGCCAATATTAACCAGCATATGCAAATCTTTTGTTAAATTTTAAAAGCCTAAGTATTCTTGTAACGATTTTAAGTTTTTCTTAATTTATTTCAATGAAGATTTTTGTATCATCGGAAACTAGGTAATGTTGCACTTGAGTGTTGTATCAACATGGTTTATATATACGGTAAACAAGACAGGTCTCAGGCCAGAGTCCTGAGGACCATTGACAACTATGGTAATGTTGCACTTGAGTGTTGTATCTACATGGTTTATATATACGGTAAACAAGACAGGTCTCAGGCCAGAGTCCTGAGGACCATTGACAACTATGGTAATGTTGCACTTGAGTGTTGTATCAACATGGTTTATATATACGGTAAACAAGACAGGTCTCAGGCCAGAGTCCTGAGGACCATTGACAACTATGGTAATGTTGCACTTGAGTGTTGTATCAACATGGTTTATATATACGGTAAACAAGACAGGTCTCAGGTCAGAGTCCTGAGGACCATTGGCAACGTTTACCACTCGGATTTGTCTTACTCTGTTTCTGTTGAAAAAGTCATATCATATACCACTAGCAAGTTAATACCTCCAAACAATAGGCCTCAGAGAATGAGTGAAAATAAAAGTGTTTATATTGTTTAAACTTATACGTTACTTTATTTCAGATAATGCATGTATTTACTTTAATACTTGCAGTACTGAACTAAAAAAAGCATAGTACAGTACTACTTACAGTATCAAATGAGGTGTACAGTTTAGTTCATTTATTATGCACCCCATACCCATCTTGTGGGCGGTAGTGGAAAGGGTTACAGAGGCACATAATGGGCTCAGGGACTGAACCCCACAATTCGTTTAGCTAAGCAAGTTACAATCTTGATGAGCTAGTTACAAAATTCAGTATAAGTCGTCACATCAACAATGGGTTCGAGATCGATCACAAGTATAGTTTCTAAATTAAGCAACTAACATATGTGGAGAGCTATTGTTACAATTGATATGTTTGTCCTGCACACCGCCCCCCATCCAGTGGACAGCGGTGGATAGGTTACAATCACTCTTAGTTACTACCTACAGTTTGCAAACTGGGGATATTTGGCCAAAATCTCTGGCAGCAGATAATTTTGAATGAAAAATTTACACATCTTTAGAACATTTTTATAGAATTGTCTCTGAATTCATGTATCTTTTCGCACTCCATCACATAGTGACGGAGGGTGTGCGAATAATTTTGTTGACACAGTTTACATTTGGTCAGGTCTACATCAGCAGATAATGAGAATTCCCAGAGATACTTATAACCGAGTCTAAACCGAGCAGTAGTAACATGTAGAAGTCTGATGATTTTATTGGATGAACCATAGATGTGTGGCTCCTCTTGCATGATAGTATGATGATAGATGGAATTACTGGTGTCGAATTCAATTTGCCTCAGATCTACAAGATTTTTTGATGTTCTTGCTGTACTATTGCTCTCAGACTTCTCATTGACAATCCAAGGTTATACTCAATTTCTCCTTTAAAGGCAGATTCTTGGTAGTTTCTTTACTAAAGAAATTGTACATTTAAGTGAGCAGAAGGACACTTACTGTATTAAACAACTTGAACAGTATACTGCATACTATATTAAAGTACTTGTACAGTACGCTACTTACTGTAATAAAGAAAGTTCCTAAAAAGGCTAGCTACTGTAGTAGAACAAGTTTACAATCGGATACTGATAATATTAAAGTACATATACAATATACTGCTTAATGCATTATAGTAAGTTACAGTCGGCAACTTACTGTATTAAGTTGTACATTAAGCAACTTACAATAACACAGGTGTATATATGCTCCTGCTTGATCTTGAGGATAATAAGGATAAGACAGACTAAAAGTGAGACAGAAATTCTCAATGCCTAAAATTCCTAAAATGTCAAAATAACTAAAATCCCTTAAAAAATTAACAGCTAAAACTAATAATATTGATCCAATAAACAATAGTAAAGAAAATCATATCGATATAAAGTGTAGAAAATGCTAATATATAAATTACATGCCAAAACTTATTCATAAAATCAGTATATCAAAATCAGTTATTCATGCAATATACATTTCTAAACGTATTAATAAAATCTGCATACAAATGCCTATTTATACCTCCAGCATACTAAAATACATTCATACAAAAACTCAATCATACCATCAGCATACCAAAACTCATTTATCCTACTAACATTCTAATACTAATTCATACCACCAGCATACTAAAACTCATTCATTGTTGTAAATATTCAACACTTTTTTCATTTTAGTACTTCGATAAATCATCTCTGTACTAACAATTACAATTTACTAACACTATACTAACCAGTAGTGTACTAATATCATTTCATATCCTATTGCGACCCAATTCTGTCATATCTTTCCTAGTATTTATGGCGTCGTGCTCCAAAGACCGCCATAGGGAATAATTTTCTACATATCTGTAGACTCAATAGAGTCCAGTTATTTACTTTCCTTTATTAACGATGATCGTTTATTAATAAGTTTACTTTAATTAGTATACTAAAGTGTACTGCAATTCATTTATTCAGCTAGATAGGTGTTTCAGTGAATAATATTATAATACAAATTACTTACCATTTAAATATTTCTCGTTTATTTTGCGCGGTTCATATTAACTTACTTGCATTACGAGAAAATATATTACGCATAACACATTTATTTATGATGTAAATATTCGTCATACTCACTTCCTTCCACATTAAGAATTAAATAAATAATATAATTTATGCCCAGGGCCTCTACTGGGAGCTTTTGCGCATGCGTCAACCCGAGATGGAGGAAAGGGACTCTCGCCATTTTCGATCAACTGGCAGCAAGGTGTTCCGAAGCAGCCCGACCAAATCTTCCAATTCTGCAAGCATCTCGGGGCTTCAGAATAAGGGCGCAGCTTACCCAATTCACGGACCCCAATTTCGGCGGGCATTTTACCTCATCGTTTTATTGTTGAGCTCAGGTATATTCACTAAAGCAGGTGCCATGTCGTGATGCTGTAGGCGATATAAAACACCCATGTAAGTGATGTGTCTACCCCTCCAATTATTTCATATCTTGCGTTTAAATGAGTGAATACTAGTGGAGTGGAAATTATAGAAGTTACTTATTTCAGCGTTGTGTAATTCAACTGAGGAGGCGTATGACTGTCTCCATGATCACGTGTCCCAAGGATTACTATCTCATTGCTGGTCCCAACGTGTTGTAGAGGCTGGACGCAGTCTACGTTCCTCTGATACAGCTCAGAATTTACCAGTCTTAATATATAGATAGTGTCTTTTTATTATTGAGAGTCAGTGAATTTCCATTTATTTGCATATTAATTATATACTTGATTTAATTATTGATATGCATTAATATTTCAACCTTTCATTAACTAACAAATATTTCACATATATACTATAATTAATAACTTATATTCATATTGTAGTAATTTGTAGTGAATTACCTACTAGCATTAGAGAATAGCCCCCAAAGTGTGTAGAGGGATTTGGCTCTATAATTTTAATTATCATTCTACAGTCCATTGCCCTAATATTCTTATGATCAATCACATTATATTATCCAGCATCTCAGAGCATCCTATATTATTCATTATTGGAGATCCATAGGCACTGCTTCTCTAATTTATTCATTTTTTAATTTATTTCTCCCATTAAGGGAGTGGTCCTTCGAAATTTAATTATCATTATTATTAGTATTCTGGAGCTAGATTTTTCTACATTCATACCACCAGCATACCAAAACTCATTCATACCTCCAGCATACCAAAACTCATTCATACCACCAGCATACAAAAACTCATTCATACCACCAGCATACTAAAACTCATTCATACCACCAGCATACAAAAACTCATTCATACCACCAGCATACAAAAACTCATTCATACCACCAGCATACTAAAACTCATTCATACCACCAGCATACCAAAACTCATTCATACCTCCAGCATACCAAAACTCATTCATACCTCCAGCATACCAAAACTCATTCATACCACCAGCATACCAAAACTCATTCATACCACCAGCATACCAAAACTCATTCATACCTCCAGCATACCAAAACTCATTCATACCACCAGCATACAAAAACTCATTCATACCACCAGCATACTAAAACTCATTCATACCACCAGCATACAAAAACTCATTCATACCACCAGCATACAAAAACTCATTCATACCACCAGCATACAAAAACTCATTCATACCACCAGCATACTAAAACTCATTCATACCACCAACATACCAAAACTCTCAGCAACAACCAGCTCCTCGTACATTATTGGTCTCGTGAGGCTGGTCTCAACAACCAGCTCCTCGTAGATGTGTCCTTGTACATTATTGGTCTCGTGAGGCTGGTCTCAACAACCAGCTCCTCGTAGATGTGTCCTTGTACATTATTGGTCTCGTGAGGCTGGTCTCAACAACCAGCTCCTCGTAGATGTGTCCTTGTACATTATTGGTCTCGTGAGGCTGGTCTCAACAACCAGCTCCTCGTAGATGTGTCCTTGTACATTATTGGTCTCGTGAGGCTGGTCTCAACAACCAGCTCCTCGTAGATGTGACCTTGTACATTATTGGTCTCGTGAGGCTGGTCTCAACAACCAGCTCCTCGTAGATGTGTCCTTGTACATTATTGGTCTCGTGAGGCTGGTCTCAACAACCAGCTCCTCGTAGATGTGTCCTTGTACATTATTGTTCTCTAGAAGCTGGTCTCATCAATCTGCCATATATGAACATTATTAAAATTGTTAAGCGACGCACCGAGCTCTCGGAGGTACTTCTTGTTCTCCTCACTGTCCTCGATCCTAATCGCAAGGTTACGGCCAGTGACGCCCCTCCGGTGAAGTCCTCGCAGGAGTCTCTCCCCACCCACACCTGTAGATGAGAGGGAACATTGAAGCTCACACCTGGCAACTCTCCACACCCACACCTGTAGATGAGAGGGAACATTGAAGCTCACACCTGGCAACTCTCCACACCCAAACCTGTAGATGAGAGGGAACACTGAAGCCCACACCTGCAGATGAGAGGGAACACTGAAGCCCACACCTGGTTACTCCTCACACCAATCTGTTAAGGAGGAGGAGGAGGAGGGTAGTGGTACAGAGGAGGAGGAGGGTAGTGGTGCAGAGGAGGAGGAGGGTAGTGGTGCGGAGGAGGATGAGGGCAGTGGTGCAGAGGAGGAGGAGGCTAGTGGTGCAGAGGAGGGTAGTGGTGCAGAGGAGGAGGAGGGTAGTGGTGCAGAGGAGGGTAGTGGTGCAGAGGAAGAGGAGGGTAGTGGTGCAGAGGAGGAGGAAGGTAGTGGTGCAGAGGAGGAGGAGAGTAGTGGTGCGGAGGAGGATGAGGGCAGTGGTGCAGAGGAGGAGGAGGCTAGTGGTGCAGAGGAGGAGGGTAGTGGTGCAGAGGAGGTAGTGGTGCAGAGGAGGGTAGTGGTGCAGAGGAGGGTAGTGGTGCAGAGGAAGAGGAGGGTAGTGGTGCAGAGGAGGAGGGTAGTGGTGCAGAGGAGGAGGGTAGTGGTGCAGAGGAGGAGGAGGAGGAGGGTAGTAGTGAAGAGGAGGAGGAGGGAAGTTTTGGGGAGGAGGAGGAGGGTAGTGGTGCAGAGTAGGGGGAAAGTAGTGGTGCAGAGGTTCGAGGAGCAATGTAGTGGCGCAGAGGAAGAGGGTAGTGGTGTAGAGGAGGTTGAGGGTAGAGGTGCAGAGGAGGAGGAGGAGGAGGGTAGTGGTGCAGAGGAGGGGGAGGGAAGTGGTGCAGAGTAGGAGGTGGGTAGTGGTGCGGAGGAGGAGGAGGGTAGTGGTGCATATGAGGAGGAGGGTAGTGGTGCAGAGGAGGAGGAGGGTTGTGGTGCAGAGGAGGAGAGAGAAGTTGTGCGGCGGAGGAGGAGGGTAGTGGTGCAGAGGAGGAGGGTTGTGGTGCAGAGGAGGAGGAGGGTAGTGGTGCAGAGGGGTTGGAGGGTAGTGGTGCAGAGGAGGAGGAGGAGGGATGTGATGAGGGGAGGGTAGTGGCGCAAAGGAGGAGAGGAAGGAGTGGTGCAGAGGAGGAGTGGTGCAGAGGAGTAGGAGGGTAGTGGTGCAGAGGAGGAGGAGGGTAGTGGTGCAGAGGAGGAGGAAGGTAGTGGTGCAGAGGTTCGAGGAGCAATGTAGTGGCGCAGAGGAAGAGGGTAGTGGTGTAGAGGAGGTTGAGGGTAGAGGTGCAGAGGAGGAGGAGGAGGAGGGTAGTGGTGGAGGAGGAGGAGGAGGAGGGTAGTGGTGCAGAGGAGGAGGAGGGTAGTGGTGCAGAGGAGGAGGAGGGTAGTGGTGCGGAGGAGGAGGAGGGTAGTGGTGCAGAGGAGGAGGAGGGTAGTGGTGCAGAGGAGGAGGAGGGTTGTGGTGCAGAGGAGGAGGAGAGAAGTTGTGCGGCGGAGGAGGAGGGTAGTGGTGCAGAGGAGGAGGGTTGTGGTGCAGAGGAGGAGGAGGGTAGTGGTGCAGAGGGGTTGGAGGGTAGTGGTGCAGAGGAGGAGGAGGAGGGTAATGTGATGCAGAGGGTGAGGGTAGTGGCGCAAAGGAGGAGAAGGAAGGTAGTGGTGCAGAGGAGGAGGGTTGTGGTGCAGAGGAGTAGGAGGGTAGTGGTGCAGAGGAGGAGGAGGGTAGTGGTGCAGAGGAGGAGGAAGGTAGTGGTGCAGAGGAGGAGGAGGGTAGTGGTGCAGAGGAGGAGGGTAGTGGTGCAGAGGAGGAGGAGGGTAGTGGTGCAGAGGAGGAGGAGAGTAATGCAGAGGAGGACGAGGGTAGTGGTGCAGAGGAGGAGGAGGGTAGTGGTGCAGAGGAGGAGGGTAGTGGTGCAGAGGAGGAGGAGGGTAGTGGTGCAGAGGAGGAGGAGGGTAGTGGTGCAGAGGAGGAGGAGGGTAGTGGTGCAGAGGAGGAGGAGGGTAGTGGTGCAGAGGAGGATGAGGGGTAGTGGTGCAGAGCAGGAGGAAGGTAGTGGTGCAGAGGAGGAGGGTAGTGGTGCAGAGGAGGAAGAGGGTAGTGGTGCAGAGGAGGAGGAGGGTAGTGGTGCAGAGGAGGAGGAGGGTAGTGGTGCAGAGGAGGAGGAGGGTAGTGGTGCAGAGGAGGAGGAGGGTAGTGGTGCAGAGGAGGAGGAGGGTAGTGGTGCAGAGGAGGAGGAGGGTAGTGGGGCAGAGGAGGAGGAGGGTAGTGGTGCAGAGGAGGTGGGTAGTGGTGCAGAGGAGGAGGAGGGTAGTGGTGCAGAGGAGGAGGAGGGTAGTGGTGCAGAGGAGGAGGGTAGTGGTGCAGAGGAGGAGGAGGGTAGTAGTGCAGAGGAGGAGGAGGGTAGTGGTGCAGAGGGTGAGGATAGTGGTGCAGAGGAGGAGGAGGATAGTGGTGCAGAGGAGGAGGGTATTGGTGCAGAGGAGGAGGGTAGTGGTGCAGAGGAGGAGGAGGGTAGTGGTGCGGAGGAGGAGGAGGGTAATGGTGCAGAGGAGGAGGAGGGTAGTGGTGCAGAGGAGGAGGAGTGTAGTGGTGCAGAGGAGGAGGGCAGTGGTGCAGAGGAGGAGGAGGAAGAGGGAAGAAGGGGCAGAGGAGGAGGGGGGTAGTGATGCAGAGGAGGAGGGTAGTGGTGCGGAGGAGGAGGAGGAGGAGGAGGAGGAGGGTAGTTGTGCAGAGGAGGAGGGTAGTGGTGCAGAGGAGGAGGAGGAGGGTAGTGGTGCGGGAGGAGGAGGAGGTGGAGGGGTAGTGGTGCAGAGGAGGAGGGTAGTAGTGCAGAGGAGGAGGAAGAGGAGGGTAGTGGCACAGAGGAGGAGGAGGAGGGTAGTGGTGCAGAGAACGATGAGGAGGAGGGTAGTGGTGCATAGGAGGAAGAGGGTAGTGGTACAGAGGAGGAGGAGGAGGGTATTGGTTCAGAGGAGGATGAGGGTAGTGGTGCTGAGGAGCAGTAGGGTAGTGGTGCAGAGGAGGAGGGTAGTGGTGCAGAGGAGGAGGGTAGTAGTGCAGAGGAGGAGGAAGAGGAGGGTAGTGGCGCAGAGGAGGAGGAGGATGGTAGTGGTGCAGAGGAGGATGAGGAGGAGGGTAGTGGTGCATAGGAGGAAGAGGGTAGTGGTACAGAGGAGGAGGAGGAGGGTAGTGGTTCAGAGGAGGATGAGGGTAGTGGTGCTGAGGAGTAGTAGGGTAGTGGTGCAGAGGAGGAGGGTAGTGGTGCAGAGGAGGAGGAGGGTAGTGGTGCAGAGGAGGAGGAGGGTAGTGGTGCGGAGGAGGAGGGTCGTAGTGCAGAGGAGGAGGAGGAGGGGAGTTGTGCAGAGGAGGAGGGTAGTGGTGCTGAGGAGGAGGAGGAGGGTAGTGGTGCAGAGGAGGAGGAGGTGGAGGGGTAGTGGTGCAGAGGAGGAGGGTAGTAGTGCAGAGGAGGAGGAGGAGGAGGGTAGTGGCGCAGAGGAGGAGGAGGAGGAGGAGGGTAGTGGTGCAGAGAAGGATGAGGAGGAGGGTAGTGGTGCATAGGAGGAAGAGAGTAGTGGTACAGAGGAGGAGGAGGAGGGTAGTGGTTCAGAGGAGGATGAGGGTAGTGGTGCTGAGGAGGAGGGTAGTGGTGCAGAGGAGGAGGAGGGTAGTGGTGCAGAGGAGGAGGGTAGTGGTGCAGAGGAGGAGGGTAGTGGTGCAGAGGAGGAGGAGGGTAGTGGTGCAGAGGAGGAGGGTATTGGTGCAGAGGAGGAGGGTAGTGGTGCAGAGGAGGAGGGTAGTGGTGCAGAGGAGGAGGAGGGTAGTGGTGCAGAGGAGGAGGAGGGTAGTGGTGCAGAGGAGGAGGAGGGTAGTGGTGCAGAGGAGGAGGAGGGTAGTGGTGCAGAGGAGGAGGGTAGTGGTGCAGAGGAGGAGGGTAGTGGTTTAGAGGTGGAGAAGGGTAGTGGTGCAGAGGAGGAGGGTAGTGGTGCAGAGGAGGAGGGGGAGGGTAGTGGCGCAGAGGAGGAGGAGGGTAGTGGTGCAGAGGAGGAGGGTAGTGGTGCAGAGGAGGAGGAGGAGGGTAGTGGTGCAGAGGAGGAGGAGGGTAGTGGTGCAGAGGAGGAGGAGGGTAGTGGTGCAGAGGAGGAGGAGGGTAGTGGTGCAGAGGAGGAGAGGGTAGTGGTGCAGAGGAGGAGGGTAGTGGTGCAGAGGAGGAGGGGAGGAGGAGGAGGGTAGTGGTGCAGCAGAGGAGGAGGGTAGTGGTGCAGAGGAGGAGGAGGGTAGTGGTGCAGGAGGAGGAGGAGGGTAGTGGTGCAGAGGAGGAGGAGGGTAGTGGTGCAGAGGAGGAGGGAGGGTGCAGAGGGAGGAGGGTAGTGGTGAAGAGGAGGAGGAGGGTAGTGGTGCAGAGGAGGAGGAGGAGGGTAGTGGTGCAGAGGAGGATGAGGGTAGTAGTGCATTGGAGGAGGAGGATGGTAGTGGTGCAGAGGAGGAGGTGGGTAGTGGTGCAGAGGAGGAGGAGGGTAGAGGTGCAGAGGAGGAGGGTAGTGGTGCAGAGGAGGAGGAGGGTAGTGGTGCAGAGGAGGAGGAGGGTAGTAGTGGTGAGGAGGAGGAGGAGGGTAGTGGTGCAGAGGAGGAGGAGGGTAGTGGTGCAGAGGAGGAGGAGGAAGAGGAGGAGGGTAGTGGTGCAGAGGAGGAGGAGGAGGAGGGTAGTGGTGCAGAGGAGGAGGAGGGTAGTGGTGCAGAGGAGGAGGGTAGTGGTGCAGAGGAGGAGGAGGGTAGTGGTGCAGAGGAGGAGGAGGGTAGTGGTGCAGAGGAGGAGGAGGGTAGTGGTGAAGAGGAGGAGGAGGGTAGTGGTGCAGAGAGGAGGAGGAGGGTAGTGGTGCAGAGGAGGAGGCGAATAGTGATGCAGAGGAGGAGGGTAGTGGTGCAGAGGAGGAGGAGGGTAGTTGTGATGAGGAGGAGGAGGGTAGTGGTGCAGAG